CGGACCGTTAGAATTCTCCTTCAGTCAGCGATTTATAATTCGACTTAGCGAAATCAATGATGGAAATTCGTCACTGAGGAAGTGAACTCTTAAGACCTCTAGATCAGAGACGCAGCAGCAGCAACAGTTGTTGCACTGAGACACCTCAGCCGGTCAATACTTTCGAGGAAATCTAGATTCTACTGAGCTTAATTGGCTGCTCAGTTTGCGTCGTTCTCCTTGCCTACTACATATCCCACATCTGGTCCCCTTTCTGCTCCCTCGCCTCCTCCCTGCGCCGCCGTGTTCGCAGCATGGCGAGTAGAGTGCTAAGCGCCAATGGCTGTGAACGTCCCAATCGATGTCGCCCACTTGCCTGGCTTCCGCGCCCGCAGACGCCCCTGCCCTGCAGCGCCTGACACCTCTTCTCGGGCGCCTGAACGGGAGGCTGCTCGATGTTTATTTCCGCTTTTCTACAAGCTTCTTCGTTTTGTTTCTTTTCGTGTCTGTTCAGTTGCTATATTCCCTTCGTTTATTTGTTTTCTTCCTTTTTCAAGTACTTTATTTTTTTCTATTTCGTACCCCTTTTTCAGAGCCCTCGTTTTACGAATTCTCTTTCGTATTTCACTATTGTTAGTCTATTTCGCTTCTGCTCGCCTTCAACATCTCTTTTCCCACCGTTTCATATTCTTCTTTCTCGTCTTCTCCTCTTTATGAGAAACGTTTTCGAAGTGCTCTCGACCACATTCTAACCTTCCCAATCGATAAAACCATTTTTCAAATGCTGATACTACACTTCTTTTGGGATGGCGTGAACACTCTCCTAATTCCTAGTTTTTACCTCGCAGGATCGTATTGTGGAAGTAAGGAATGAAATAAGGGTCTTGTTTCCGAGGACCGTGTATTTAGTAAGAAACGATACCGATTCTATCTTCTTGTTAGAATTCAATTTATATGCAGTTGAAAAATGTTTTGAAATAACAGCTGCACATCTTACTACGCTTAATATCTATCTTACAACTTCAGACCTCCAACAAAGGGAGCTTTAGATTATTTCAATTTCTGAAACAATCTAGAGAAAACTGAACAGAATTAGTAATCGCTCTTTTAAATCCATTGTTGAATGTGAAGATTTCAACATCCATTTTCTGAGCCAATCTCACGAAAAAGAGCATTTTTAAAAAAATTTACTGCATACTTTTAATTTAGATGATTACAATGAATGTACCTACACGGAATACACTTCAACCACAAAAAGCAATACATCAAATTATAATTAACAAAACAACAATTAGATATGAAATAACATATAATCTAGGTTACAGTGATCACAATGCACAAATCCTTACAATTACTAATAACATGAACACTCTCACATTAATAATGCAAACATGTGCAGAACGTTCACTAAAGCTAACAAAATCATTTACGGACTACTTGGTGAAGGGATCATGAAACGTAGTTTATAACGGTATTGACACAAATGAAAAATATAATTTATTTCTCAAAGCTTTCATTTCACTTTAATGCGTGGTTTCTTCTTAAAAAGAGAAAATTAAACATTTGATGGTAAAGTAATACTTGGATCACAAAATTAGAACATCGAACATCGAACGTTGAGAATGAGAACATCGTGTAAAAACAAACGTACCCTTTACTTAATTTCGAAACATCATAACGTATCACCCGGTTTCCATGTCTACTTCCAAGAATACAAAAGAATTTTAAGGAAAGTAATAGTTCAGGCAAAAATAATGAAAAATAATCTGGATATTTTGAATGCTAGTAACAAAACTAAAGCAATGTGGAATATTGTATTCATTCTGATTGGGATTTATCTTTTGATTCAAAATTTTGAAGTTCAAATTTTGACTTCTTAAACGGACTTTAAAATGATTAATTAGAATTGGTATTATTAAAATTAAAATAGAAAAGTATTTATTATGATTAAAATAATGTATTAAAATAGATTATTTTTAAATTACGTTTGTCCAGTTTTATTGTATAGACATTCTAGGGGAATTTTATAAATCAGGAATCACAAGTCCAACATCGTCCATAGATCAATACATTAAACGACATACTAAAGCCTACTTACACAACATAAATTTCTTCCTAAAACCGTACAGTACATACGAACGTCTGAATGATGAAGTCGTGTGGTCGAGCAGAATTCTGTACAGAGATCAGTTTTGTGTTCCATTTAATACTGAGGGCATATTCACTTGCGCATGTCCAAGAATCGTATACGCAATTTTCTCCACAGAGGGACATTTAAATCTTCAGGAGGGACGAATAGAAGAGTTCACGGGTGAAACGAAGACCATCTTCGCTTAGAAACATACACTGAACGAATTTTTAAGTTTTCCCCCTGGAATGATCTATTGTATAATTTCTCTCATTTGGATTCCTTAATTTGAATATTTCAAAGTACGAAAATCTATAAGGCATCTAGAAGATGAGTAATTTCGTCCCTGGCAAGGGAAAATGAATACTTTTCCAGCAGAGGCCATCAAACTCTTTAGGAGGGGTCGATCCCTACCATCGACCCCGTCAGTTCACATCCTGCAAAGGACGCAACACGTCTTTAGTCGTATGTCTAGAACTGCAGCTTTATGTGAGCGTATCAGGTAAGGTGCATAACAATTCGGCCAGGGGAACAGTTTAATATTGAAGTGCAGAGCTCCTATTGAGTGGTCTTCCAATAGTGAGTCGTGTCCAGGGTCCAGGGACTGCTTAATCTCCCGGGAACGGCATCGCACGTTCTCCAGACCCGATTTTAATAAATCAGTGGACTTTGGAGAAACGTGATTTAAAGATACGTGATAATTGTACGAGAATATAAAGTATCGCACACTTTTAATATAGAATTTGGGATTATAAGCATAATAGTTTAAGCTAAAAATTTAAATAAACTAATTAACTTGTCTGGCTTAACGTAGTAATATTTCCAAGAGTTTATCTTTAACTCTGATATGTTCTTTTCATTGCTCATCAAACACTTTCAACACGTAGTTAAATAGAACTAAAAGGTATTTATGTTCGAGTTGGCGATACAGAACAGCAGGCAGCAATTCACTTTGAAACAGAAATGTTTACTTTTGTTAAATAAGGAAATGCAAGAAACCCAAGAGAGAGCAACTTAAATTCTCATCCCAGTACTTTAACATAAAAAATATAATTTCATGCATATTAAAGAACGATAACTATATCTTTCACAGTAATAAAACAGTAAATTAAACTTACATGGATTATGTTCTGTTGGATGGTTGAAGAGGATACACATGCTACAGTGTTATTTTAGGACATAGCAATATGTCGACGGCTTATTGTTGCACAAACCATGTATGGCTATTATTCACTCATGGTCATTTTTGAGTTTTCGTTTGTATCTACATAGAATACAAAGATTGAATGACTATATAAAGAGGAATCTTTTTTTTTCTAGAAAGTGAACTTTGTCTTTTATCTTAAACATTGTCGCTTCATAAATAACTACACCTTTACAAACTTTCAATCTCGGATTTCTCAAAACTAGGAATTCTGGACCTACGATATGTGTGGTTCAAGCTATCGATCTATCCCGTTATTATTTCTCGTGATATTTCTACAAAAACAGCCTAAGTCTTTTTTTAAAGCGTACTTTTCTCTATCCATAGGGAAAATTGTAAAAAAAATTGGAGCCGTTTTTGAGATTTAAAAAAATTAATTGTACTAATAGCAGTTATTACGCATAAACTACTCGTTTTCCCCCAAAAAAATTACATAACTTTTTAATTATCTAGAATATTTCATTAAAAAAAACATCTCTATCATCAATGTTTTACTTCTGCTATGTTAATTTTTTGCAATTTTCGAAAATACAGTGTTCGCCGAAAGTGGTAGCAGCACCACTTTTCAGCATCGTTTGTTATATACTGGGGAAAGTTAAAGAAAAACATTTGGAGCTGTTTCAGAGAAAATAATTGTATAAAAACTTTATATTTCACGCAAAATTACTCGAAAACTACACACAGTTGCGCAAAATTGTACATGACCTTACTTCAAAATCAGTCCTCATTTCAAAACCAGTCACAACTGGCTGCATTGCTAGGACACGCTGATATGTATACCCTTTCCCTTCCAGAGCGGAACGTCCACCAGTGGTCACTTGTATGCTACCGGGGAAGGCGACCTAACAGCGGTAACTAGGGTGGTTTATAACGAGAGATAAAGGTATATTTTAGCCCCATGCGTAGATAAAGAATACAGAAATATTAAGAACAGAAAACAAAAATATAACAACATGAGGTGGAGGAAAAAGTTTCGGTTCACATTTCAACGCAGCGTGGGGTGTAGACGATTGAGAAATATTTACATCGGCAAACAAAACAAATAACTCTAGGCATCCTGAGGCGAGTTCGTGGTTGCTGGCCGTTTTGCAGTTATTCCCTACTATTTGCGTCATGTAGACCCTCGGTGATTTGTGGACGTACTGCTAGGACATTCTGAGTTGTACCCTTCCCCTTCCGCTACGGAAAGTCTCAGAGCTCAACTGCAAGCCGCTGGGAAAGATCTAGCAGCGGGGACTAGGATGGTTTCATACTTTAAGACAAGATTCTAGTAATTGTTGCGTCCAGCATGGGGCGTAAAAAATAGAGAAATATTAAGATCGGAAAACAGAAAATAAAATAACCCGAGAGATTGTAAGTTGGGTTCCGTTGTAGTCGCTAGAGATTCAGTTATCCCCTTCTACTTGCATTCTAATGGAACTGTGTGATTATTGGCTGCTCTGCTAGGAAATTATGAGTTGTTTGGAGAGATTTAGCAGACGAATGCGGCATATTACAAACTAGATTCGCCCAAGCAACCCTTACATCCATCTTAAAATTCCAATCCAGTACTGTCCCGTAACACAAACAATATAATTTGACGCATGTTAATGTAAGATAAGTAATTATAACTTTACAATCACGGACATTTAAAATAATTCAGAAACGCTGGACACACTCGCTCTTCAACTGCGTCATTGTAGGCTGTACCTGCATGCCGCCGGGGAAGGAGACCTGGCCGCGGTAGTGGCGCAGCGCGGCGGCGCGCAGCGTGTACAGCAGGCACACGTCCTCGCCCACGAGGCACAGCGGCACGAGCACGGCGGCGCGCCGCGCCACGGTGGCCGGGTCCACGCGCAGCGGCCGCAGCCGGCGCAGCGCCGCCACGCACCGCTGCTGCGCGTGCTCGCTCAGCACGGCCTCCTTCGACAGCCCCGGGGGCGGCGGCGACGACGCCGCCGCCGGCGACACCCCGCCGCCGCTCCTGCGCACACACGGGGTTTTCATCAGTTGCTTATTTAGCATTCCTGGAAGCGGCAACTACTACGCTCATTAGTCCCGTAAGTGTAGTGATGTCAGGGAGGTGGTGGATGGATGGATTGCTGTTTCTAAGGTCATTAGCCCCGTATGTGCAGTGCAAGATTTTATAGCGGGAGATGATCTTACCATGAAGGATGACGATATTCGGTGCTGACCTACACGTCGGCTCGCAGAGGTTTCCCAACCAGGTATCTCTCAATAGCGAGTACCGCCCCAGTCGTTCCAGGCTCCAAGCTCCCGTCTGGTCCCCCAACATGTGTGGCAGAGTAGTGCAGGAAGGTGTGTGGAAATAATGGGGGAGGACAGAACAAGGAAGGAAATATCGCGAGTGGTCCATGGCCCGTTTGTTATAATACTGCTCCGGTATTTATCAGGTGTTGATCGAAAGAAGCACGAAAGCTACGGATCTGAGCAGCCCGCCGCTATAATTCTCCAGACATCGGCTGAATTCGACCTAGGTACATTGCAGGTGTAGAAAATGCTGCGTCCGTCGGGAATAAACCCCTAGAGCCTCCCGGTTAGGGGACAATGAAGTGACGTCAATTGATGCCCTGGGGAGAGGCGACGGACTTCCTCTCCCGTTGCAACGTGGGACCTAGCCCCGACCTAAACATCAGTTTTGCGGGGAGGGGAGTCCTCTTCCACTCAATTCCCTCAGCGGGGCATCGCTTCAGCCGAGACAAGCTCCCGATATGTGCGCCTGAGTAGTGCACGGGAAGGGAAGTGTTAAGGGCACGGTGAGGAAAGATCCATGACCCTTTTTGTACTACTCCTACATTCGTCTGGTGTTGATTGAAGAAAACAGGGAACATATCTATCAGAACAGCCAACGGTTAGAATTATCCTCCAGACGGTGGCCGAAAGCACACAAAGAGATCACCTCAATTCGCAATCCCTTCGGGTACTTTCAGAGTGGGTCTTTGTTCTGCATGAAACAAGTATAAGACAAAAAATATGTTATATCCTAAATAACACGAACTAATTGGCAGGATAAAGGACATATACAATCCATATCACATTTTAAACCACAACACTCGCTACCATCGCGGAAACCCCCCGTAATTGCGGATTCTGCACCCTTAAACCCCGATTTTCGGGCCTGAGTTATGTTTCTTGTCCTCAAACGGCACCAAACGACGCATTGTTTACAAAGCCACATGCATTCGCTACAAGTTAATACGCATGCAGGTTTCACTTAGAAACTCCTTTCACTAATCCACTTCACCGCACATCACTGCACTCCACATACGCGCGTTTAAACATTCTTGCACAAACTGTACGCGCTGCTGCGTATAGGAGTTGTTTTCGCACCTCTGTAGGTAAGTTTTGCCGACGTACTTTGTATTGTGGGAAATTTGATGTGGTATTGTTGACGCGCTTTGTTACTATTTACGAAACTGAATTTCCAATCTTTATTTCCGCATTTATTTTTTCGTGGATGATCGATATTTAAATGGCATGGCATTTCAAGTGTTTTGTTGATGGCTTTCCTCGCTGATCAGTTCATGTACGCTTTGAAGAACACATACACATGCATGACTTTTCTTTGTAAATTTATTTTTTCCCTCTCAACAATATTTTTTGCATAGAATCTCGCACAACGATATAATGCATGTTAGAGGGAAAGTTCTAAGACAATCGGAAGTACTTCCAAAGTCTTATGCCAGTGCACGCTGCTAACCTGAATAGGGAACTCTTAAAGGTTTTATCTTAGAAAGAAATGTGAGCTTTCTTCTTAAACCAAATTTCGCCATTTGTTTTAGTTCAGTGTAGTTAATTTAAATATTTGCGATGTGGGAGAGAAGAAAAAGAAACAAACCAAACAAAAAAACTGATAATAATACACGTTTGAAGAAAAAACAAATCAAAACAAAAAGCAGCAAAATCGCGTTTATGTGATCTTATACTGTATATATATTTTCCCTATCAAAAGTTTAAAGATAAAAATTGGACGGTGTTTTAGAAGTTCTGGTTTCTATTATTTTTTAATATTGCATATATTTCAGGCAATATTGTGTGAAAAACACTAAGATTAAAAAAATGTATATTCTGTTAATAAAGAACTAATTAAGAAAAACATAACTCACTTGAAGGAAAAATCTTTATCTTCAATTTTGTAGTCGCCGAAAAAATTCATACTTTTGAAATTTTCGAAAATTGAAAGTTAACCGTGAAAACGGACCTTTGTCACTTTTATAAGTGTACGCTACTCTATTCTTAGAAGAAATTTAATCGTGTCCCGATGCAAATACGTTTTCTATAACTCGGAAACGAAAATGACTATTTTTCAAATATTGCTCATCTTGCGATTTTTAAAATTTATTTTTATTTCTTTATGTTAATCTTTTACTCATATTTCAACTATTAATAGTTAAAATGACGGGAAGGGTTTCTGGAACTCAAGAAACGTGCTCCCCCTACGTCACATACGTTTTTTACTATTTTTTACTAAATAAATCTAATCTAAAGAAAAAAATTGAATCAGTTTTTGAGAAAAATTTTAAAAATGTCCGGATGGCTTCATGTAAAGCACCCCCAAAAGCTAATGAATGTTTTTTGAAAAAATTCAGAGCTTGGAGTGAGGTCAGATCGACAGGAGTTTTTAAAAACGTAAAAATCCGAGTCTTTTTTCATAGATCGCTTTTTCAGAAATGGTCAGGGGAAGAAAGACTTTAGCCCGTGCCTCACCCTTGTTCAAAACTCAGAGTGGTACTCTTCACATATATCAGTTATGTGAAGTGTCTTGCCACCGATTCTACCTCCACCTCGTCAATGTAAAAACTTTTTAAACGTAAGTAACAACACAACTATTCGTAAATCCACCTCCCCATATAGAAATATTCGTGATTCCATTACGCATGTATTGTAATTATTATAAATATCTATCATCATTGCTTCAATTATCTGGCGGTGGTCGAGTGATTCAGCAGAGTTCACATACCACAGCTGGTTGATTTTCGAAGGATTCTACAGTTTGGAAGGGAGCTGATTTTTCGATTAAGATACCATTATTATGACAAACGAATCTTAAATATTCTGCTATTAATTTTATGCAAATCATTTTTTAGCGGCTGTGCGTGCGCAGAAGGTCGAGATTGCTGTCAATTGCTGAACGCTTAACCTCCCATTTAATAGAACAATGAAATTATTCCATTATAAATAAATCGATATTTTTCTAATATTACATGTGCCAATTTTCTTGAACGACGAATTGAAGTAATTCGATAGTGTGTGGGTTTTAGTTAAGAAATCGGCCACTAGATGTTATGAATTATGTTATATTATGCCAATCTTTGAAGAATCAGTCATGCCTACGCCAGTTTCTCAATAATTTGCGTTCTAACTTTCTCAGGAGTTCGAGGAATCTCCTGTGATGGATCTTCACCTGCTTCGGGTGTTTCTTTAGATATTTTGGAGAAAATCACGGACACAAGTTCTCATTTTCAACAGAAAATAATTTCTATTTCGCGCCAATAAAGATGTGTTTGGAATGTCGTCAGTGCTAGCTGCGAGCTTTTGCCGTCAACTATTTATTGTGCCAGAGAGGGGGAAGCAAGGTCATCGTCCAAGAAAAGTTGCGCGATTAATATCTCACCCATCTCTAATTTCCACTCCATACGGCATCACATGGCTAATGTGAACGTAAGGGTTTTAGTAAAGGAGAATTCGGCAAATGACACAATTTAATAGTAGAAGATAAGGCTCATATAAATGTCGAATATTCATAAACAACTGATTCTAAATAACGCCAAAATGGGTAATGTTTCTATTACAATTAAAACATAATCGAAAACAGAATCTGGATCTTCCAATATATTCCCCTGTGGTCCATGACGCCATAAAATGTCCCAAAGGGCCGGCTGATACACATTTTACTTTTTTTGTCTAAAACTACCCAAAATAAATAATTCTGAACAATTGTCGTATTTTAATTACTCAGTTTTTAATTTTTTTATACCCAAATGTAAATACTGGTCTGAATTTCCTGAAACTCGAATATTCCCTGATCGAATAAGCAATCGACTACGCACCGAAATCACACTCAACAGACCGAACATAAGGAGCTCTGCAAGTCAATATAAAGATGTTTTATGCTCGTCTCCAATCACGCACTTAGGTAATTGCATCAATACCCGATGCAGCTTCTCAGTTGACAGGTTGAGACATATGGTCGCAGAGTGCGCATCGACTACGCCATCCAGGTGAGGTCACAGATCAGGTAAAAGCCTCCTGTCGGAAAGGCGAAGCTTACAAAGAAGAGCCCGAGTCTTGATCCTTTAGAATGGAAAAGGGTCATTTCGAGTTTTCTCCTCTGTGTATGTGTGGTTCTGTTCCTGTGATGTAGTATCAGCTGTTATGCATAGCGTGAAAATGAATAATGATGAAAACAATTTTAAGTGCCTAAAACGTAATTGTTCATTCCCAATTATGCCTATTTTGTTACCCATTTTAGATGCCTAAATCTGAACCTACTTGTGCCTAAAATTCTGAACACAGATGTGGAAAAGAAGTGGTCTCCATGAGATGTGGAAAATCGGACGTATTTTATCCACGCCCAAACCCTTTTTTACCACCCTCTCATGGATAAAAATGATTAAAAATTTGCAAATTTACAAGTAGAAATCTTAAAAGAAAGGATTTTTTTAAAAATTGTTAGAGTCTCTTTATAGTCCTTCAGATTACTTTTTTATGGGTCGAATCGTATAACGCAGTGATTTGTTTACACTTGAAATATAAAAATAACAAAAATGTATCATGGCAGGTATAATACAAATATTTATATACGAAATTGAAGATATTAGATTTCTGAATTATTTTTACATCTACATCATGAATATAATGTCCATTTGCACCTACATATAGTATAAATATATTTGCTTACATCTATTCTATTAATGTAATAAGCTTTCCAAAAATACACACCACCTTATGTGATATGGTTTTGTTGAAGTAGATTGTGATCTAAACTTTTATTAGACCCCAATATATCTGAAAACACCTCATTTCAAAATTTCTGCGTACACAACACTTTTCTCCTTGCTTAGAAACATAAGGTTTAGATGCCCAAAGTTACATCAGCGGGTTACATAAACAAAGGCCCTTTCCATGCACTCGTCAATGTCATTTAGCGCATCATTCTTCTGTCGCTCCTTAGTAGTAGGCTCGCTTGTAGTACTAAAAAATATAACTAGCTGTTATATACCAGCTTCGTCATTCTTCACGCGATCTCATCATCCGTTGAAATGTGCCAAGAGAAATATAATAGAAATTACGACGTGCGGTGGTGTTAGTGCCTTTTTTTAAAATTCCTTTTTTGACAAAAATTACATTACACATTATTCTTCTGAAAAGTGTTGTGTATATTTTAATGTCTTGAATGTGAGATGCGCACGATTTCCAAGAGATTTGAGTCCATCAATTAAGTCTTTACGGGAACTAACAACGTACAAAAACCATTTTATGGATGAAGGGTGAAGTTGAAAGAAATGGAATGACTCGCACATTGTAGGCTAATAGTTGAATTAGGCAGGGTTGCCTTTAGAAACCATTGTTGTCAAGACGGTGAAGCACTTCTCATGCACCAAATAATCATACTGGAAATGTATTCTCAGAGAGTACGAATATTTGATTCCATCGGTATTCGACACCGGGATCGTCTGTTATTCAGACAGATGCTCTACGGACAGATCCTTTCCGTTTCGTTCAATTTCACCCTTCATGCCAATTGCACCGTATACAACAAGATCTGAGTGTGGACGCTATACGATCGTTAAGTAGTCACGAAGTCAGTGTTCGAATCTATAGGTCAATTAATAGAGCATCTCTCTGGATAACAAAGTCCCAGGCTCGGATCCCGGTGGATCAAATATTTGCACTACGTTACTTTCCTTTTCGAGATGAGGCGAAACTGAACAGGTGATGCGGCAGCCTTCTCTTTGGTACTTCTCTTACGTAAACACTTCAATACACTTCTCTGAAGTAAACAAACGATGTTCACGTGTTTTATCCTATCTAACCCTACCGTTTCTGTATCGTGGGGCAGAGCTCTTCCTCACACAATCGCAATATCGTGGTTCGATGCAGGAGAAGCTGATAAGGGCGCTAATGGACTCGACTATCAGACGACGAGGGCAAGATTTACTCACGAATCTTCACCAACACCGCCGTTATAACATACTAGTCCAAAGGCAATTTCATGTACACAAATTTAATATTTTTTGAAAATTCTGCCCCTCTTGTAACTTTTGACCAGTTTGGGGGCAATTAAATCATGCACGATTGAAAGTAGTGTTTACACGAAATTATTTCATTAATAAATATGATTTCTTGCTGTCTTACGTACGTAGTGTTTTAAATTTGTATGATTGGATATTCTTATTCGTTATATAATTATTATTTCATACAAACATCGTTTTCCTTCTATCATCCTTAAAGAACTGTGGAATTATAAATCTAGTAAGCTGCCCAGATTTAACAATAACGTCAGTGTTCTACGCAAGTTGAAACTATTTCGTTTAGAGATGTTTATATTATTCTAAACCATACTACATTACAAACTCATTAGGATAAAGTATGTTGCCAATTAATAGTTTCACGAAATAAGACTATTTTTAGAATTTTTAATACAAAATTGCGCCAAAGCAAAGCATTATTAATTCACCAATTCATAAGATTTCTGTTCTATATAATTCAAAGTGAAATTCATCATAAGGGGTGACGTGAAGCTCCGTCTTTCCCATGCTAATTTGACTGTACATGTCGCACATTGTCTCAGAAACTCTTACTGTAAAATTTTAGTAGCAGAATTATGGGAATGTATATTCATATTTTCATATAGAATTCATATTTTGAATGGTTTTTGTAACTTACACCATATTTGAAGTAAATGTCCAAATGTTTACATCATTTTTTCTGTACTTCTATGCAGAAATCCTGAAGTATGAAACGTACTGATTTCGTTTTGCTACCATACAGGGCTTATTCGTTACTACTTAATTGACCTACAAAATTGAAATTTATCATTTGTGTAATTTAATAAACAATTGGGCAAATGTGTTAAAAATGTCATTTTTCAGAAATCAACGTTGAAGTTATTCCTTCTAAGAAATCGATCACATCTTCATGGTAACAAGTTAAAAAAACACGTTTGCCACGTAAATATAGAAAAAGTTTTGCAGTGCAAGTAACATTCAGGAATAAACTTTTCTCTAGCATTTAATGAAAACTAGAGCCTTCTAGACGAATTGGTTCAAAATATAAAACGTAAATGAGAGACTCATAACCAAAATGTCACTTTGACATGGAGATGAAGGAAGAAAATAAAATATATTTATAATAATATATTCAATGAAATTAATAATATTATACGATTTGTCCTATCAAGACCATATTTTTTGATCCTCGGATTTAATGTATTTTTATTTTAATTAACTAAACACATTTTGTAACAATGTGCATTGCAGGTTTAAAATTGTATTTCCATTTTTACTAAAATTCATTTAAACAAAAAGAAAAATAGTTTGTTTTGAAATCCCTGTCAAACGTTTTAATTTTTATCGAAGTCTGAGTATATATATCAAAACTTTCCACAGTGGCTGGGTATCTAAATTAATAAAATATACGAGTAATATTAAATTATATAATATTAAACAAAAATAAAATTAATATTAAACAAAAATTAAATTATATAATATTAAACAAAAAGCACTATCATTTTCGTGGATTTATAAAAATTTATATTTGTAAATATGCAATAAAACTAATACAGCACAAGTTAGCGTAAAGAATTTCATGTTTATTCTACGGCAAATCACAAAATTTAAACATTTTGTGAGAATGGTAATTTGAAATTCTATTCGTTAACATAAAATGCAGAAGATACCAAACACACGGAGGAGACGGCATTCTTCGTTGTTGTTGTTTTTTTTACGATCTAAGGCACTACACAGGGAAAGGCCTTGACTTGCGAGTTGCGTGATCCGATCTGCTGACCTTGGCCCACTGAGTTGGACACTCGTCGCCCGTATGGAATGCGCCAGCCGGAATTTCGCGACATAGCGCACTCTCGCTTTCATGTTTTACAGGGTTGATATGATTAATATTTCTTGCACGTGCACCCTCTGATTTTATTTATTTAGTCAAAAAACAGTAAACAAAACTGCATGTGACGTATGGGGAGAGAAGAGCGAGTACATTCGTTTCACAATTTAATTTAATTTTACATTTTTTACCTTCATTCTTGGACACTTCAGTATCCATTCTACGGTCATAACAACCAATCTTCGCGTGATCTTGAAGAACAAAAGTTCATTATAATTTACTGTCACATTGCATTATTCAATTGTATTTCAATTGACATTCCGTTCATAACAATCCTTTAAAATATATACAGGCATTTATATTCATGATTGTTATTTGCACCCTTGTAAACATTTTTTTCTTCTGTTCTTAAGTCCAGTTCCGATGAAGGAATTCAGATGGGACGAGTAGGGCATTTCTTCAAAAGAAATACATGCATGCAACATTCCAGCTATATTTAACAATCGCTTTGACATTTTAAACTTCAACCGGACAGGAACATTGCCGAGTTTGAACGAAACGAGGAACAGTGTGTGTGGCACAAAAGTCGCGACAGTTGGGGGCTGGGAAGGGGGGGGGGAGAAAGAACTAACCTGCCCAAATTGGTGGAGAGTAGACGAGGCCAGTCCATCAGCGACGCCACCGCGACCCGCGCGAGGGCACTTGCCTGGACCGCAAACATGGCTCCTGCTCTTAAACCATCGTCACTTGCATCTTGCACAACAAGCTTGGCGAGTTGTCACAAACACTTCATACCGGCACATGTTGCCCGAAGGAAAACACACCTCTCTCCATTGCGACCTACACCAATGTCGCAGGCAGCTGATTGCCCGGCGAACAAGTGAATGACGGGAGCGCACTCTGGCAACGCGACCGCAGCGCGTCTAGCGGCGGCCAAAGAACCTTCAAGCGGGTTGTTTGAAATGGCGGAGAACGTAAACATTAATCCGAAAAACAGGAGAACGATATATCGCGCAATTCAGTAAGTATATAAAACTCGTGTAGATAATTATCACAATTTTTTAATCTTGTTTAATAAATTATCGATTCAAATTCCATTGTTTATACATTCTAAGGCTACTTAAAGGATGATTAAAATCATAAATTAACCCTTGAGCACCAATTATTCAATTAACTTCAACTATATTATTTTTGCAAATAATGACTTCCTTGAACTAGAAAAATCAACGGAAAAAATCTTGTAAAGATAACAAAAGAAAATATAACTTGAGTTTTAACATTAATGGTTAAACTGATGATCGTATTTGCAAAAATTTCTACTTTAACTACTACCTCATGATTGTGTAATAGGGTGTGTAAATAGGGTGAATCCATGCCAATTTAAATTGAATTTCTGGAATACACTTGGTGAGTAAAATTTGGGGGATCAAAAGAAGTGATATAAAAGCAAGTACTTCCACGGCATTTGAATTTCAGTCAGATTTTTAACTTATTTATTGGAAAATATGCGAGGTAGATTAAAAAAATATTGCAGTTGTTCATAAACTCAATAATATATTCTGCGATTATATTATTAAAAACTAAGTAGGTGTATTTTTTACTTCGTTTCAAGATGGTAACTGTTTTAATATTTCTGTTTCAAGTAATTTCAGCTTTTTAAATATTTCTAGTCAAAAGGATCTCGATCGTTTGGCTATTAGTAAATTTGTTTCTTACGATTATTTAGTTCTTACGATTTGTTTTTCATGATCAAATGTGCAGTCATTTATTGCGATGAGCAGATCTTAGCATTTTTTGGACGCGAGGTCTTCTGTTCATGGAATTCCTAATATTCCAGAAATAAGTCTTGAGTAATGTACTCTTCAACACGATTTACGATAAAAAATTCTAATTTACAGTTCATTTAACAAATTCAAATAATTATATTTATTTTCAAATACATGTGACGCTACTTTTTTATATCTTATTACTTACTTATGTATTTTATATTTTTCTTTATTTATTAGTAGGCATAATTTGAAAGTATTTCTATTTCCAAAATATGTTTTTTTTAAAAAGTTGAGGTCCCATGAATTTTTTGTTAATTTTATCAAAAGCGTGCCATCAACCTCAATATTAAATATACAGATTGAAATCCTAAAATTCGTTATTAATTGTCTTTGCATTCATCAGCATTTGAAAAAAATATGTTTCAAACTACAATCACTCGAATCTCTAGTATCTGGATTTTTGGCTTCCAATTTTTCCTTAGTTGTCAACTAAATTTAAGTCGAAAGCGACTACATAATGTAGCGGTAAATCACTCGGTGAGGTAAATAGATGGATCTGAGTTCGAATCTCGGCGTGAAAACGTTATTGTCGCCATAGGGTTGTTCATGGGGAGTTTTCTAGCTTCGCACAAAGCGATTCCGGGTTCGATTCCTTCGATAATTCCGGGTTCGATAATTTTTTTTCTCGCAATTTTATGTAACATTTTTAAAACGTCATTAATTTATGTCACGTAAGTTGGATTAATTTCCACATTTTGAATACGTCTTTAAAATTTAAAATATTAAATTAGCGTAATAAATATATGAGAATTATTGTATTTTATATTTCAAAAATACATTTACAAGTACTTGTGTTTTGAAATTATTATTCAGGGCATCATTAACAACACAATAGAAATGCCACCAAAATTGTTTAGGCAGACAAATTTTATGCACAGTTTTTCATTGTTTTTAGGCAGTAAATATTTGTTTTCAACATTTTTATTTTACAAATAGCCTCGTCTACAGCCTACAATTTCGAATTCGAATTGTGATATGCAAAGTTCAAGGAGATGATTAATATCCGCAGAATCATCGATACATTTTTGGTGATGAATTAAGATAATATATAACAGCGACGGCCACGTCACTTTGACCGACGTGCACTTCAGACAGTATCACAAGAGCATATTGCTTTTTATGAGTAAGTTGATGTAATCTCTCATTCGTCCATGGTTCTAGAAAAAATCACATCAAGACTTTTATTTTTATTAGTATTTTTAATAAATGAATGAATGAATGATGAATGAATGAATGAATAAATAAATAAATAAATTAAATAAATAAATAAATAAATAAATAAATAAATAAATAAATAAATAAATAAATAAATAAATAAATAAATAAAGTAAATACATAAATAAATTGAGGACATTACGAAAGTAAATGCACATAAATATAATTTAATAAGAGAAAGTAAGTTGTTGCGAAAAATATTTCCGAAATGTAATGGTTAAATGTTATGTACAATTTTTTTTTAACTTGTATGTCTTAAATTACTCATTCTTAATTGCATCTTATACAATCGACATGTGAAGCAATATGCGTTGATGGGGAGAAAAAAATCCTCAGATATCAAGACTAGAGTATAGATTTGTTCACTGAATAGTACTGTATTTTAGAGAAATATATCAGATTACTATAATTCATTGCATAAAATGATTTTGAAACAATATATAAATCTTGTGAAACATTGCACTGTATTTAATGTTGACGGTAATTGAAAAATATTTCCATGATATCTATAATGAAACTGATAAATGCGTCATTCCAAACCCATTCACTTACTTCCGACAATAAAATGGTGGGAACTCCAAATAGATAAGATAGCATATCGACTTTGCTATATATATGATAACTGCCAAGGCTTGTCATTCGTGATCTCTAAGAGACAGACGAAACAACTGAAGGTGAGTAGGCGCCAAAGTGTAGCGTAATGGAAGAGTACTATTCGATGGTTATTCTGTGACATAACCAAATTAAATTCATTTGTGTTTTCTCTCTTTTGTTTGGAATGGATTGATTAAAATGTTCAAACATTCAAAATCTAAATAAAACCAAATAAAACTTAAATTGAAAAATTTAAAAGCATTAACATTACGCTGTTAAATCGTGTTCCGTATTACACGATTTGAAATCTAATGCCAAATAGCTTTCTTAGCGTTTTTCCGAGATGATCTATAGTCTAACGTTGCAAGTCACATAAATGATTTTAGGCTGGAACTACCCATTTTTGTTGGTTACATTGGAGCCTCTGCGCATGCGCTTGATGGAAATATGTGGAAGAGTTAGTCCGGTACACCGATTTCTGCTCATTCTGCGCAGCAATAGTTTACCTCATGAACCACGTGACCTTCGTTTAAAACGCCAGATAAGACGCTGGCCACCATGTTGCATGGAGAGTGAGGAGTGTTCAGATACATTTTGAAAGTGGCATAAAGTGACTATTTTTAACGAAAAATAACACGATGAAGGTGTAATTGAAATAAAATTATTTTAAATGTTTTTGTCTTGCAAGTAACGATATGAGATTAAAAAAGGCTGTTGAGTCATTCCACGTCAAATAGAAAATTTAAGGAAAATTCGACCTTGTCATATATTTTTAAGTTTTTTTCCGTTGAGACTATAAGCAAAAATATGAAACACGCGAACAAGCGGTGCATGTTTGTTGATCATTGTCAATACCCAACATATTTGCAGCATTAACGAGTTGCAGAGATTTTCATTTTTTCCCAAATATTATTTTTCGATATTATATTAATTTTCAAAATGTTCGAAAAAATACTCCCATTGCTTAAGTCAATCATTTTTAACTCGTATGGTAGTTTTGACAGAAATTTAATATTTTGTGATATTAAAGAACAAAATATGCTCTTTCATTTGAAGTATATATGGAATTCATTAACTTTTTAAAAAAATAATTTTTCGATCTATTTCACATTTATTTTTTAATTTTTCCAAGACCTCGAAGTTTAAAAATTTGAAAAGGATATCACTGAAATTTCTAAAACGTTCTACATAAATTTGATAAGGTACAAAGTTGGACATTGACATGATTTTGAGAAAGTAAATAAAACAGCAATGTTTTGCTGCAGCGTCTGCTAGAGCGTGACCCCTCAAGAACGTGCCAATCAGCAGTAGACGATTACCATCAATATACTTTCACAGAGCAATAAACAAACACTTCACATCTTAGAATGTGCCATATACAATGTGTCATACATATGACCTCATAGCCGATTAAACTCAAATTAAAAAGTCTCAAATGAATTCAATTTAGTGTTGAATTGACGGAATAAGAGTATGTGGCACAGTTCATACACATTCATATTTCCTGTACTTCTTTTTAAGAGAATATCATTAATTCATCTTTTCATAAAGAATTGAAATTATGTATTTTCTTTGTGTATTCTATTTTTTATTATATCATTATTACAATAGACCTCTTTCTAAGTTATGTTCAGCTTTTCTAAAATTATACAGGCAATGTTTTTCACATTATCATCAGCCCATGTAAATGACTTCTTTGGTAAATTAATAGGTTCCTGTCAGGATTTAAGGCTAGTTTTATTAAGAATATTATAGTTGCACTCCCCCCTACGTCGCATGGCCCCTTTCCAAGACCTTTCGAAGCGAAAAAATGCCACTCAGCGCTCACCTTGAAGGCATCTTTGTGAAAGCATAAACTCACATGGTTTTGTAACATTAGGCACTGACCACATCCGGAAAATGTCTGTAAACAGTACATCATAATCTTACTTGAGAAGTGTTATGAGTTTACAATGAAAAGGGTGAATTGAATTCTTGTCGTGTATCAGGCATCCAGATTTTTTT